CCATTCACTCTCAGGCCCTGTCTTGGTTACGCACCTGCCTACAACAACGCATCAGCGAAAACTGAAACCGAAAATTTTGTAATCGTTATCATGGCATCGACAGGGTACCGCATTCTCGTAAGTGCTGAAACAAGTAACAGCTGATATTCTCTCATGCATCGCTCGAGCTAAGCAATAACGCGCAATCAAGCATGCTGGCAAAAGCGTGTATGGGGTGTTGGGTATATATATATATATATATATATATATATATATATATATTCATGCACTATATCCTAGGAAATTGTTGACACGAGGTGTTAGCATCACGCATGCGCCGTCACATTCCAATGTACCAATAGGTACGCAATAATGAACACGTATCAATGTCCCATCACGTAATCTACTTGGGACATAACATGGAACGTCACTATCGTAAATAAGGCTATCATGTCACCATAATAATATGAAACTTGCAATTCAGAAATCGTTTTTAAGGTTTCGAAGTTGAGGCCTTCCAGTTTATCAAGCGTGAGCGCAAAATTGGAGACAGAATACACGATAGAAGGGCAATAGCCAAACGCATCGTAGTATATTATAGATGATGGCCGACCATAGGACATACGCTTCATTTTTTAGGCCTCGTCTGTGTCAGGTTTTTCGAGAGCTTGACTTTTTAGCTGCACCTGATGACACCCGAGAATAAAACGCTTGCCACGTCTATTGGCCTGATCGGTTCAGTGGCATGGGCTTGCGGTTATTGTTCTTCTGTCGCCCTGTAATCGTTAACATTTCATTCGATCACGTGCTGCGGTTACGTCACTGACGACGATTCCGAGCACTCACTGCGATTCTTATGATGCATGTTTGCATTATTGCTAAAATACGGCCCGAAATTACGTGCCTTTCGTTTTAACGACAGGCTGGTATGGTAAGTCTAATTGAAATGCCATCTGCTATGACCATCGGGGGCATCCTATTCTGGCAAGCAACTGAAGTACTTTAACGTTAACGGATCAAGAACTTTCATGTCGCAAAATATCACTTCGATGCTGCAACAACATTGGATGGCTATTTCGTTGTGACGAAACATGGCTGTAACGACGTGGGCAGCACCCTCAGTGATTTGCTGAATCTGATGAGTTTAACACGCGCCCGGGGGGCCGGTTGAATACCCTTCGCTCGGGTGGAGGCCAATTTACCACATGCCATCTTAAAAACTTAGGGACCTGAAGACACTAAAAAAGCAACGTATGTTTGCCTGTCCGTGATCTCACTTGTATTGAAATTTGAAATCCCCAGGGTTGAATAAGGTCACTTTCATACTTCACATTGGTGTCCAAAGTGTCCCCAGACCTTTCATGTAACCGCCGTGAACCTAGACACCTGTTCTAATGAAAAGATCACGGGTGTTCATTCCTGGTTAGTGACCTTGTTTGACCTTTAGAAGGTGATGCTGACAAAAATCATACAGGACTGCTCTGATTTTTGCATTTGAATAATCGCCAAGGATTACGCTAGGCGGTATGTTCCTAAAAACGAAGAGTTGACCTGGGTTATTTTAGGTCAGTGACCTGTCCTGAGCTTCAAGAAGTCCATGCAATATGTATTATGCGCTTCCTGGCATAAACAAATTCAAAACTATCACCAGAAAAATAAGCCGCGCCGTTCGGAAATCATGCTGGGACAATGCACGGAGGAAGGGGATCAAATTGACCCTCACCCGAACGGGTGTTAAGCATTCCACGGCCCATCTATCCACGTGCGGCGTGTATGGCGCCAACAGTGATAAGCATGCTAGTTCAGGGACTACTTCCAGACATCACAGCTCTCTGAAACTAAGTGAGCCGGTGGCATAACTAGTTTCCTACTACTTCGGGACTAAGATGCTTTAATTGGGAGCAGTGAAGCTGCGGTCCACAAAATGAAAGGGAAAGCAATGAAATAGATAGCAGTATAGGACTGGTGGGGCAGCTTTGAGCGTCGTTGACGAGCTGGCAGCTGACCAGTCAGTCAGCCAAGCCAAACAATGCGTCGACTCTGTGACTCATCCGTATTGCCGGTAATATAGCGAATGCAAGGCAGTTTTCCCCCAAAACCATGGTGGGGACTCAATGAGCGTTAGAAGCGCGGGACAAATCATAGAAGTGTAGGAAGCGCTCTTCATAGAAGCAGTGCTCGTGACTTGCTGATTCTGCTTGCCTTTGAAGTCCTTAAACTGAAGGAAGGGGCCGTGAAGCGTTAAATGATGCAATAGTAAATCCGTCTGGCGCTGATGAATCTTAAAATGGGTTCAGTGAACACTCTGTAAGCCGGCAGAGAACTCAAAGGTTCTTGTCAGATTTTGCATAGAGATTGACGGGCCTCGCGACTCATGTAGACCTGTAGAATCGAATGGGCGTCAACACATTCTTCATAACATGGCCACACATGCTCGTCTGAGAATGTCTCAGCCTTAAGTCAAAATCAATATGTGATAAAATTGTGTACCCATAGTTTTTGGATATGCGTCGTTTGTAAACATAAATAATTACAACCAGGACGCTCCCCGCGTTTGCAGTCTCCACCGGGCGACGTCACGTCGACCTTGCGCCTAGACGACGGCTAACGATAGACGGCGACCAACGGACTGACAAAAAATAATGGACGCATCTAAAACAGGTGGTACCTGGACGGTTTAAAAAACAACTTTTGAACGGTCTGGGAAATCAATTCCTACGTTTGGAATGCAGCTCCGGCGTGAATTACACGAATGAAATTGGCTAAATAGGGTGGGAATAGATTAGCATTTACATCATGAACTATGGTTGGAATCTGGCGGGTCGAAATGGGGCGAGAAAAAAAAAAAATTGTGTTTGCTGTAGGTGGCCAATCTGTTAAGGGAAGATCTTCAAATCTATAAATGTGAAATAAACGCCACTTTAAAACCTGCCTACATTTATGATTATGACTGTCAGTATTAGCCTAAGCCTTTATCTGCACGCCGCCATATTCTCACTGACTTTACGCCGCGGTCGTCATTTTCTACCTCGCCATTACGCCTTAATCAGCGCTGATCGGCAGTTTACGGGAGGTCGTGCACGTCACGCACCGCGCGCAGCGCCACGACTGGTCTCAGGCAACACGGCCCGAGAGTTTACTCAGGCGACACTCCCCGAGGTAAAACCAGGAGACTTTATTCAATTCCACACACTGTTGGTGTGAGAGCCTGTTACCTGTCGTCCAGCAGGTCTGCCGCAAGAAGGTAGGTACAGTCGGCCTGGAAGCTGTAGAGCCTGCCGTCGAATGTGACGAAGGTGGATGATCCGGAGAGGACGGCGTGTCCTGCAATGGAGCAAGCAGCTTGATCAGCGACACTGTCGCTAACATTGCTTCAGCCGTGTGATATAATATATATATATATATATATATATATATATATATATATATATATATATATAATACGTGTATATAATATATACGTAAATATTATATTATATACATAATATAATATATATAATATAATATATATATATAATATATAACATATGTGATATAAAATGGCGTAGGTTTAAAGACTGCCACAGCCCGGGCTTGTACCAAGATCGTAATTGACTATGGCTATGAATGGCAGGAACGTTAGCACTAGCGAAAGTTGTTAATGCGGTGTAGAATGCTACCAAGCGGAGCTTGCTACGGCGAAAAGAACGTGCTTTTGAGCGCATACAGAAACGCTCGATCTCAGCTTCACGGAAGTCCATCATAAACATCGGCCTCTCTTGACGTGCAGCTCAATAAACTGCAGCTTAATTACGTCCAGTGGCACGACACCGCCCCCGTCCGTTCTGACTCACGGGCGGTAATTCAGCTGCCCCATCTAAATTTCACGAGCAGGTATATCACCTCCTTATTCCTGGCGTCAAAGTCTGAAAAACCTAGTAAAACTGCACTGGGTCAGAGGGTCATGGCTATGTTCCACTTAATCTGCACGCGAGGGTGATCACGGCCTGTGAACCACACCCTAAAGGATTGTATTATGCTCGAGCCACGCCCGAGGCTAATGGCCGCATTGCAGGTGACACCCAGAACATGAACATGCAGTGCGTTGCCACATCCCGAGCGGGGGTTTAGGCTGGCTGACTGAAGATCACTGACTGAAGATCGCTGAGTGACTGATCGCTGACTGATCCCTGAGTGAATAATCGCTAAGTGACTGATCGCTGAGGGATTTGCCGCCGAGTGATTGACTGCTGAGTGATTGACCGCTGAGTGACTGATCGCTGAGTGACAGATCGATGACTGATTGCTCACTGAGTGACTGACCGCCGAGTGAATGATCGCTGAGTGACTGATCGCTGATTGACTGATCCATGAGTGACTGATCGCTGGCTGATTGCTCACTGAGTGACTGACCGCTGAGTCATCGCTGAGTGACTGATCGCTAGCTGACTGATCGCTGAGTGACTGATCGCTGAAGGAAGCTCGAACCGTGTCGCATGGCTCCCGTATATCACCGCACGTCTGAACGGCTGCCGAATGGACCGCATAACGCCACGTGTAACAAGTGGAGCATGGCATAAACAAGCGGGCCGTCAGGCTGTCATAACTCTCCCACATCCCGATCAAACGAAACCACAAGGCGATGCATCCAAAAAAGCAAGAGTGACTTCCTTTAAGATTTTGAAAACACCACGGTGCGCTTCAGACTTTTTCGTATACTGGAAGCACGGTCGTCCAAACCTGGAGTGATCGGATAGCTCGATATCAAAGGTTCCCTATGTTCTGCTCATTTGCATCTGCCCGGATGCACTCCCGAAGCGCGGCGCACCGCCCGGCTTTGAAGCGGTAGAGCGCCGCTGCAGGTGGCCCAGGCGCAGCCGGTTGGCCGCTGGGCCGGAGTTGGATGTGGCCGGGACGGCCGTGGCGGGGGCGGCGCCGTCCCATAAACCAAGCCGGCCGAACCCGCAACGAGCCACAGCCATGACGGCATCCGAGCAGGCTGCGCGGCGGCTGCTGCTGCTCGTGCTGGTGGTCGGCGCTGGCGCCCGCGCCCAGCACCAGCTGGAAGATCTGGTCGGCGAGCTGGCACGCATCACCAGCGCGCTCCAGCAAACCACGTGCCCGGCGGACTACCTGACTCTCGTCCACAAGCTCGGCATGCAGAAGACCCCGGTAAATGTCACGCTGATGACGAGTGCTACACGAGGATTTGTTCGCTTCAGCTCTTTTACTTGATCGCATGCGTCTTTTTCTTGAGTAAGGAGGTAAGTGGGTTGCGTGTGAGCTGTTCTATTTGCTTCGCATCCGTTTGGTCGGAGATCATCGTGAGTTGCACTTAGAAACTAACCGTCTACCTTGTTGCTGGAACAACTTGACATCAGAGCCGACCATTTATCATGTCTCCTATATCCTGGAATTAAACCTGGTTGTTTATCATGCAGTTGTAGCATTCTGAAAGAATCTAGTCGCCTATAGCTCACGCTGCGTCATTTGCTAAAATGGAAATTAATGGGCCGGTCTAGATTTTCACAATTATTTGCCAGATCTTTACGATTATTGGTAAGATCTGTATGGTTATTTGTCAGACCTTCACGACTAGTTATCAGGTATTCACAAAAATCTGCCAGATCCTCATGACTAGTTGTCAGGTCCTTACAAAAACCTTTATGTCATATATTTATGATTTTTGTCAGATGTTCATGATTATTCGTCAGATCTTCACAACTTTGTCTCCGCTCCGAGTTGACTGCTTGCATTTGAGATTTAAATCCAAACATTGGACCTTGGGACCCCGAGGGCTACTTAGTGCTGATGCCAAGGCCCCGGCACCTGTCAGTGCCAGCCTCCGTCGCACTAATGACGCCTCCCCTAGCATGTTGCGCCTCCGCCAACGGCACGCTCACACCCCACAGGCGGGCACCTACTACACACCCGTCTTCACCTCCGACAAGCCGTCGACCGAGCCGGGCGTGGCGGCCACCAACACGATCCTGGAGCTGCAGCCGGCCGGCACGCGGATCCCCTGGCTGAACATTAACTCGGACAGCCAGCCGTTCGTGTGGCACCACCGCGGCGCGGCGGTGGCCTTCCACACTCTGAGCGCGTCGGGCCGCTACCAGCGCATGGTGCTGGGTGACCCACTGCGGCACCGTGGCGCCAAGTATCAGCTGGCGCTGCCCACCGGCGGCTGGCTCGCCACCGAGGTGCTCTCCGACTCCGAGTACGTCCTCCTCAGCGGCTCGGCGGTGCCAGCGCTCGATCGACTCCAGTACACGCTGGCCGAGCCGGCGCGCCTGCTGCAGCTGTTCCCGCAGCACAAAGACGTGATCCGGGCGGCGTACGGGCAGACGTGAACGAGGGGCGTCGAGGGCGCTGGTGGCTGAGCGGATGGGGTTGGTGGCGCTGGTGACTGAGCGGGGTGTCAAGGGCGCTGGCGGCTGAGCCGGTTAAGCCGAGGGCGCTGGCGACTGAGCGGATGGGGTTGGTGGCGCTGGTGGCTGAGCGGGGGTCGTGGGCGCTGGCGGCTGGGCGGGTGTGGCCGAGGGCATTGGTGGCGCGGCATCGACGATGCGGCGTCGCTCCGCATCGACGTCAGTCATGAGCTGAGTCGGCTTGCCGCGGCCGGTCCGTGTCAGGCTGGTCCTGGCACGAACCGAGCGTCAGAAACTCGCCCCGCCCGCCGGTAACAAGTTTACGCGTAGATCTGTTCAGTGTCCACACACGCGGCTTGCCAGGAACGAGGAAAGGAGTGCTGATGCTCGAGGCGGTGCCAGCACCCCCGCAAGGCTAGTGTGTATAATTTCACAATCGCGGGGGTGCAGCATAAAATGTTTCTCTGAAAACCAAGTTTAGTGCGCAGCAGAAGAGCAATATCTGGCGCATCGAAGAACATCGCATTTTCTTGATCTTCTTTTCGTTGCGTGTTTTCTTGGAATTGTAACTGTCAACACATAGTCACGTATGTAACGAAACATCTTCTACATTTCGTAAGGGGGGAGTGGCTTGTTTCCCAGGACCCATATGTGCATGCAAGCTTGGCCTCCCCTGTGGGGTCGACAGGGGACTGTAGCATTGTGCAGCGCTGTGCGTCGTGCAGCTGGTCGGTCCCAGTCCGCTCCATGCGCGCACCGCAGCTGGCTCTAGTCCCTCCCACCAGCTCCTCCCGTGTACCTCGTCAGCTAGTAAAGCCTCATGCAGTGAAATATGACAATTGATATTGTATATGATATAACAGTTGCATTGGATTTAGGCATGAAGATCTGAGTGTAAGGTGTATTTTCATTGGTCGTTTTCAGGCCAGTTAGCTGCTCAATGTTTTCCAGCAGAATGTACAAAGGGACGAGCTTCAAAGTCAATACATCTGCATGAGGTGAACTGTGTATCTTAAGGTGATGGCGGACACCGATAAAGTTGGATAATTAAGCAGAAAACAACTCAATGTTCGTCCCAATTCAATCGCACAAGTACTTATGGCATTGCGTGCGCCCAACTCCAACCACAGAACAAGACAACTCAACTTCGTCCTCAAGACTAACCCAGATCCTGTTGCGCATGGCACCGATTCGAGACGTTCTTTCACCGCACTCCTCGCGTATCGCCATCAAAAGCCTTGTTAAAATCCATTATAGTTATTATGGCTGCACTCACCGGTGGCGGGAAATACCTGTTTAGCGCACTTTAATCCCAGACTGCCCTTGAAATAAATTTTACATAAGCAAGGTAATACATAATGCCGGTAAAAGCCCAGAGTCTCAGCGCAATCACTGCAGTGAATTTATTGTCATATGAACATCTATTGATTGGGGCACCCGTCAGGCCCCGGACGGTGGTGACCACACGTGAAGAGGGTCGTCCCGTTTGCAGCTGCGGCCAGCTTTTTGAACGTGAATAGTAATAAAGACAAATGGCCCATTTCGTACTTCGGGTGTCTCAGGCGTTCACTTTATTTTAGCAATCCTCATGCGCGAGTTATTCAATACCCGGCACTGGTGAGAGCGGGGTCTGTCCCCTTTAAACTGAAAACTGCGCCAAAATCAGCAGAAATATGTAGAATCACGAAGCCGGCTCCACTTCTCTCAATGACTCGACGCTTTACCGCCACGAAGTATAATTTCGCGCGGGTCTGGGAAGTTTATCAACGCGGTCTGGTGCACACTGCTGTATCGATTGGTCAGCACTCGATCCGGGCCAGCCAGCGCACACGGCCCCCGCTCCTGTCGTTTGCGCGCTCTGGGGCCAGGGTGCGGGGCATGGCTGCCCGCGCGTCTTCACGCGCCGCCTGGTCTCGAGGTCAAACACACCATGGCCCTCAGATGTAGCCTAACTCGGCAGCTCTTCGCCTACAGGCCGTGGCCTTCAGGCAAGCAGCGTCAAAACATGTACAAGAGGGAGCTCGCAAAATGTCCTGAGCCCTAGCAACAAGAAAAAAGTAAGTGGCGGATAACTTCAGCACTATGTCGTGTGACGAAAACGCGTCAGGGTTTTTCGTCCTCCTGGATGTGTAACAGTGCGCAACCAGATCCCTGGCAAGCGGGGGAGGGGAGGTATGGGTTGACAATTTGGCCCACTGATTGTGAATGGTCCCCCCCCCCCCCAAACAAAAATAATCGCGTGACCAGAAGCTTACCATGAGATCAATTTGCCTGAATTGCAAAGTAAATGAACCCAAGAAATCATGTTTTGAACAAATACATGAAATAAGCCATTGATGTTATTTTGGCAACGATCCAGTGGACTCTTTCTGAACCGATAAACTCGGAAGCTTTGTCAGATTTTTTATATCGGCTGTACAGAATATTAGGTATCCCGCGAATGTACGTCGAAATGGGGCAACAATTTGCATTAGAATGACCAAACAAAGTTTGTGTGAGCATGCGCGCTCACAAATCTTAGCAAAAATCTCGACGCCTGGAGTTGCAATCTCCATAGGCCGCGCAGCGTTGGCCTGCGGTTAACTCTAAGCCGTGGCCAATAGGCGGACGAAAATTAGTAAACGTTGTAAATCGGGACCTTTGAACGCTATAGTATGTTAAATTATAGAGTTCGAAGGTCGTCTGGACGTATACTTCATCTGCACGATTTTTAGATTGATGATCCGAACGGATTGGCCTTTACAGCACGGCGAAGTAGTGCTGGAATCTGGTGGTGAAACCGGAAGAGTAAAGGTAGCATTTCTATTTTTTGTATTGCTATAACTATCTACCTATCCAAAAGGCAACCTAAAAGCTGTTAAAAATGCGCCGAGTCTCATCTTTGAGGGTTATGAATAAATTTTGACCGACACTCGGAGCCCTTATTTTACAACCGTGGTTCTCGCGTGCACGGCGCCCGCCAGCTGGCGTTACTTGCGGTCGCTAACGCTGCTCGGTTTTACGGAGGCCGCCATCCGGGCCATCGCTGTCCTTGCTCCCGAGATTGCCGGCGGGCATGTTCAAACCTTGTTTGATGCAATTTATTTCATTGGTCGATTCTACGAGAGAACAAATGTTCTCGGACAAACATGGGATGGCGTTGTTCATTTTGAAACTAAGTTCGACCTACTGTTTTCTACACTAATGAGATCCCATATTTGTTTCCCTTGAGTAGAACACTAGGGAGCACATGACTGTTCCCGGTCAAGGCTGAGGGGTATTCCGTCCCACCATGGCGTGCCTTCCGGCTGCGATTCTGGCGACATGGGGCGGATCCCCTGACCCATCCGGAGGCCCTTGGAGGGATACACTGTATCACATTGGTCCCCTCCCTGACGTTATAGACCTTCTGACCCACGTGGCTGACTTCGGATCGATGCACTAACCCTCATTGACGCAACAACATTCCTGATCGCCGCAGGTGGTCTGATTCGGTTTAACATAGATTCCAACTTAACTTCCACAGACTCCATGGAATCTATGTTGGATTCCATGGAAACTAACATAGATTCCAGTTCGGCTTAAGGGGCCCATGCTGAAATTTGGTTGGAGGGCTCACCGTTCGGTACTGAAAGCCCTGACTGGCACACTGGCACACCACGGTAATCGCCATTGGTCTTTCATTTTCTCACTGTGAACAACCATCAAGTCTCATTTGTTTTCATTGTCAGAGGGCTCTGACCAACGCAAGAGTCCTCTTTTATTCGAGGTGCCGTCCCCGTCCCTGTTGACCAAATTCCCTCACAGACTCTACACCCCTTGTTGACACAAGATACCCTCTTAGGTTCTGTGGCCCCTGAACGATACAGGAGCCCCGCTTTATTGCAGAGGCCCTGGCCAATGTAAACCGCAGGCCCTACCATGTTCCTGCTGGGAAGTGGGCCCCCAGAGCTCAGACCGATACAGAGCCGACTGTTCGGAATTGGCGATCTCTGGCTGAAACAGAGGAACGCTTTCCCAAACCGGTGCAAGAAGCCCTCTAACTGACTGACTGTAGGTCACACTGAGACCCCGGCCCTACGGGCCGTGATCTCAAGTGTGACCTACAGCCAGCCCTTTTTGGCCCTTCAGCCTTCCAGTCGGTGCTTCTTCTTTGGCCTCAAGAGACCCCTCGCGCCCCCTCAGAACACTGCTCCTGGCCGACTCGGGTTCTTGCCGCTACAGAACCCCTGGTAAGCACTGTGATCCCCGACCAAAACGGAAGCCGCTCATTGTGGAGACCCCGAACATTGCAAATCGCGGGCCCCGGTCTCATTCCTGCTTGGGAAATGTGTCTCAAGAGCTCAGACGAACATGGAGCCGACTGTTTGGTTCCGTGTCGAGGTCTTATATAATGGGATAGATAATCCTAATAAGATGGCCATAATAGCAGCACGCTGAAGGACATTTCAGGTCACGGCACTACGGGATGGGGGCCGGGACAGATTTCAATCTGAGCTTTGATTTTTGACCCTGAGGGACCCTCCGACCTCTCTATGGACCTCCTCAAAAACCCAGTGACCGCTGAGGACCACTAGCTGACACATAACCCATGCCTTGCACTGTGGGCCCAAAACCGACACAGGGGCCTCAACCACCATTTCAGGGATCCAGACCAGTAGAAATCGCGGCATCCGGCCTTGTTCCTGCTTGGGAAATAGGCCCCCAGGGTTCAGACTGCCAGGGAGCCAACTGTTTTGTGTTCGTGGTCTCTGGCCGACTCAGATATCCACGTTGTCTCAGGGGTCCTCAAACCGTGCAGGAGGAGCTCGGACTGGAATTTCAGGTCTTACGCCCCGCGGGTCTGGTTCTGTTGGGTCGTCCTTCTGTTGAGCCCGTCCTCGGGCCTCATCAAACACTGCCCACGGCCGGCTCGGGGTCCATTGTGGGCACAGATATCCTCTGTTAGACGTGTGCCCTGGCAGATACAGGGGCCCCGGCCAATGTAAATCACTGGCCTCAGATTTGTAGCTGATTGGGAGGTGGGCCCACTTAGGCCTTTACCGACACGGAGCCGACTGCGCAGTTCTGGTGGTGCCTGACCGACAGAAACGCCCACATCCGCCCGTCCCGCCACTCAGTCGGTT